CACACCTTGGCTCAGGCGATTAGAGGATCATCAGGGGGTCCTTTTGTCCTCAACAACCTTAAAAGTTTGTCAGGGTTGTTTTTAAAGAATGGTTCTGCTTCCTCTGAGTGGAAAAGTATGCCTGCTTTTAATTCTGAGGTTTTATGTACTATATGAACATAAGAAAAAACAATCTGGTCTTTGGCAGATCTTAAAATTGGGTAAATACAAGTTCACATGACCTATTACCCCGTGTCTTTATTTATTTATTTATTTTTACATACGCTAGAATGCAAAAGCAGTGTCTCAAAAACCAAGTAACTTATTCCACAAGAATGAAGATGGAAAGTAGCACCCGGCTTAAAAAGCCGAACCATCATTTAACAGTGAGAAAGATTATCCAAAAGTGGAAAACATTTGAGAAAATTGCTGATCTTTCCCAGAATGGATGATCCAGCAAAATTACCTCAAGGTCAGATATTGCAGTGTTTAGAGAAACTGCAAAAAAAAAAAGGGGTTGGTGTCAGAGCTAGGTAAGAGTACCATCTCAGACTCTACGCGCTTCAGTTAGCATGCTAAATGTTAAAGTTCATGAGTGCACAATTAGAAATAGACTAAACAAATATGATTTGAAAAGGGCTGCCTGGAGAAATGCCTCTTCTCTGTAAAAAGATCATGGCAGCATGGCTAAGTTGCAAAGTTGGATGTGAATAAACCACAAGACTTCTGGAACAATCTGCTTTGGAATAGACAAAACCAAAATGGAGATGTTTGGCTATAGTGCACAGCACCACAAACCAAGCACAGTATATCAGCGCAAATACTTCATACCAGCTGTCAAGCCAGTGGTGGAGGAGTGATGATTTGGGCTTGTTTTGGGGCCACAAGACCTGGCAACTCCCCTGTGTACCAAAGTATTCTAGAGTATTCGAAAGACAAATGTGAGGCTCACAAAGGCCATCTATGAGCTCATCTGTTCAACAGTTAAAGCTTGGCTGAGATTGGTTTATTCAACAGGACAATGATCCCAAGCACAGCAGCAAATCTACAACAGGATGGCTGAAAAAGGAAAGAATCAAGGGGTTGCAATGGTCCAGACCTCACCCTGATTGAAACGCTGTGGCCTGACCTCAAGGAAGTTGTGCATTAAAAAGAACCAAACAAACAAACACCTGTAAACCTTAACAAACTGAAGCAACATTGTAAAGGAGAGTAGCTCAAGATTCCTCCAAAACGCATGAGAAACTGATAAAGTCATACAGAAAAAGATGACTGAATCACAGTGTGTTTGCACAGAGTCCTGTGGAAAAGTTTTGTTTTTTTTTTGTTTTTTTTACATGGCTGTAAACTATGTAACCGGTTCTGAGTGTGAATCTGGGTCTCCTCCCAACAGGCCAGATAATCTAAAAAGGGAGGTGCTCAGCAGATATCCTTATCAGAAGTCTGAGCCACCTCAGCTGGCTTTAGACACAAGGGAAAAGTGGCTCCGAGCTCCATCTGTATGTCCTATCAACACTATGTGTTGACAGACATCTCTGCACCAAATCATATCTCTTATTAATCTCTGTCTCTCTTCCACAGCATGTCTTT